CGGTGAAACGTAAGGTTTCATAAAATGTAAGCATGGAAAGTTCTCAAAACTGCCGGTGGTTTGCAAGAAAAAAGCCGATAGATTTCATAGAAACGAAAGTGCTTGACATACCTCTCAAAGTATCAGGAAAAGATCTCTAGTTTCAACTAGTCCCTCATTCAAGAAAGCTTGCTTTAACTGCATATGGGCATAAATTTAAGTCTTATAAGCTTAAACTCAAGTAAAAATCCACGTAATAATAAGTTATGAACTTTTCTGCTCCATTTTTCGAGTTTTTAAAATGAGCAAGAGTCTTCAATAAGATCTTTGCCTTTAAAATAATTGTTCCTCACAATGTACTGTCTCATCTTTTGCATGAAGTCTCAAAGTTTCAGGATATTGGCATAAAGCTTCCCATCAAAAAATGAAAATCAGCGTAAGGCCAACCAAGTAATTCAGGACACGAATCGGACACAAGCGAATGCACGGTAGCGGATGACCCTCGGAAAAATCTCGACTGTTTACGAAAGGCCTCGAAGTCTWCCCGAATGAAAAARGGTAGGGAGGGGAGGACACGATACCTGGTGCACACATCGGTCCACGGCGAGTTAAATGCTTTATGTTCATTTTCTCATCATGCAATAAACATTTCACGCTGAAAATCGTGAGACAGTTAGGGAATCTGGCGATGTGTAGTTATTTGAAAGAAAATCGTCGTTTTCTGCTGATTTTCGTTGAAATAGGAGCAAATTTATATTTATCACGTGACCAGTGTTTCATACCTTGTCACAGACTAGTTTGTATCCCGCGAGGCGCGCGATAGTGACGTAATATACCACAGGTGACCCGCATTTTTGCTAAGAGCGCGCGCCGATACATATACATAATAAAAGAGCGTGCGCATTCGCTCTTTTCTGTCTCTAATGCATTAGTTGGGCGGCCTATGCGATGATGGGATATTCTTGGCTTTCACTGATCACGTGATAGTCTAAAAAAGCTATTTAGAGGCAGAATTAGCAAACTTTTATTAATGTTCTCGAGAGAACATCTTTATAAGGATCATGACGACATTTAGAGCCGAAATAATGAATTTTAACAGAAATACGAGCGATCGAAAATTGGTAAGAATGTATGGGATTAGCACGGCTCAATGCGTTTTGTTTTAAGATTCAAATTAATTTTTTAAGTTCAAGGATCAAACAAGTATATAACTCCCAACAGTTATGCAAAGTGTGAATCAAAACTGTGATTTCCTAGCAAAAATATAAGCGTTTGAATACGKTYTTHMTTTACARAGAAATGTATGGGGCCGCCATGATTGTGTCCCGGTCAGGGACTTCAAAATGGCGGACCGTAACTCCGAGTATCGAAATGAGCTCAAAACTAATGATTTTGCTTTAACTTTACAACTATATCATTGTAAACATTTAAATTGATGCTGAAACTATAATTGTTTTAAGATTCATAGGCTTTTCGAGTATTTTTGGCGTGTATCAAGTCGCGTGGCAGTACGTAACATATTTTTGAACGCTAATAACTCAACGAATAAACAGTAAACAAAGTTTAAACATTCAGAGCGAACTTCTATCATGCTCTTCAAGATATTTCAGTACCACAATGTTGTGTGTCTGTGATTTTAGTTTTTTTTTCGACTGATGACGTCATGTGCAAGCCAAGAATTAACTAAACCGTGAGTACTTCAAAGAGGTAGAGCAAACGCAGGAAAACCATGAAATATAAGCAAACTAAATAATAACAAATAGCGGCTATTTAGAGACAATTTGTCAGTATCAATGAACCAGAGCACAATCAAGATGAATTAGAACTAGACGCTCCTGGAGCGTGAAATCGGGCTAGCTATTTTGGAAAATTGAAAAATTACTTGGATTTTCGAATACGTGAAGAGCAAAAGAGTTCAAATTCGTATCTAAAAAAACATGTAATATTCTGACACTCATATAATTATATATGAAAGTAAATTATGGAGTAGAATACCTTATCTAGTTTGTTTATTCACGCACCACGATATTCTTTTCTGGTGGCTTGGCGCAACGCGACATCAAAACACTAGAAATATCGATCCAGGAGTGATATTCTGTCTTTCTCAATTTTCAAAAATAGCTATCCCGACTTCACGCTGTAAAAGCGTGTAGCTCATTCAAAATATGCAAATTTCGTGTGATTTAAAAAGGTCATATAAACAACACTTTATTATTTACAATTTTTGATGCAATGTTTAAAGGAAAGAACCCTATTAACCTATACTTATCCTGTTTTTTGTACATGGACCAGCTTATACTATTTAGGGGAATCTCCAAAGGCAATTCTTTCAAATAAATTCAAAACTAGACCCTGTATGCAGGGTTGACACGTACCCTTTGTTGTGCATGATGTTGTGAGATCATTAGTAAATGAGGCCTTATTAAAACCTTACTGATACAGAATAAAGAAATGATTTGATCCATCGAGCCTTGCCAAGATATATGTGATTTTTGCGATAAGCTTATATGTGGTGGCTCTTAAAATTTCAGCTGTAACTGCCTTTGTGATTCTGCAGTATAATTTTAAGGTCAGATATACCCGGAGATATATAACTAGGCATGATTTGGTTACAACGTGACGCTTTATTAACTTTTGATATGATAGTAACACAATATTTTTGCACATCTACATTAAAACTCGACATATCTATTGCAGATGTTTGAATAGCCATGGAATTAATAAGCATTTTCTAAAGAGTTGTATTGATATTCAATCATTGGAACCCAATCACTATATCGTTGCCGTTGCTTCACGAGTAGTAAGCGTGTTGATCTCTGTAGTGAGATCTCCTCGTCATCACAATTCAACATACCCTTGGTCCGAACACCCAGACAAGTAATGAGTTCCAGATTTTGGTCGTAAACCTTCATGTTCTGTTCCATATTCGTTAGTAGAGACAATATTCATCAAAATGGCGGATAAAACATTGTGCAGAACGAGTTGGAAATGTTGCGAACGGGATTATCGACAGGCTATAGCGTTCGGAATACACAACGTAATGTGATTGGCTACCGGATATATAATTCACAATGTGATTGGCTACGAAGATGTACCGAAGCCAAACTTTCGACATTGTGAAAAAAAAAAACAAAAAACCAAGAAAGTGTCAGCATTTTACTACACGTACCCCCTGCATAGCAGGGTACGTGTAAT